TTCTCTCTTTTAAGCTGTTCTGGAGCTCCAGTTACTTCGGTGGAGTTACACTTCCTGATCTAACAAGTGTAAATGTAAGCGCTTTCTTGAGAAAAGATGTCTTATGTTGTCAGGACTTCCAAGTGAAAAGCAACTTTACCTTGTTTTGCTGTTGTGTTTTGGTTTCGATTTTTTTTTTAAGGAGAAAAAAAAAAGCAAACAACAACTTAGCAATCTCCTACCTAAGAGCGCTGAAGCAGCTGGCCATTTATAACAAAGTTAGACCAAAAGATAGAGATTCTGAAAACAATTAAATCTCTACAGGACTTTGAAAATAAGGGACCCACTTAGATCCAAAAATCCTTCAGTGACAAAAAGTTGCAAAGTGAGTTCAGAACCTGACAGCTACAAATCTGCACTCAAAGGAGACTTTATAATATGCCAAGTGCAGGAAAAAGTTTAATTGGCCCCGAGAGTCACCCATAAGATATACAAGCACAGAAAACAAGGTTTCTTTAGTTACAGAACTGCTTCAGGTTTTCCTCATTTTCAGAGAGATAAAATTTATAAAGAATAGAACCCTATCAAACATTATTAACAAAATACCGTAAGCCAATATAGTAACATATGTATACCCAGTAAGATGGAACTACCATATTCAGACAGTCCAAAAAACTCTACTTGAACTTATAGAAGACATTTAAAAGTAGAGATAAGTTAGTATTTTTTTTTCTGCTTCTCACTGCTTTTGCCATTTCTTTTATAGAAATCTCATAGGAACTCCTCTTATTGACAGAATATGGAGGGTAATTAAAAAACCCATCAGTATCTGTACTCCCAATCAAGAAGGATTAACTGAAACACTGGAATGGGTTGCCCAGGGAGGTAGTGGAGACCCCATCCCTGGAAACATTCAAGACCAGGTTGGACGGGGCTCTGAGCAACCTGATCTAGTTAGCGGTGTCCCTGCTCACTGCAGGGGGGTTGGACTAGATGACGTCTAGGGGTCCCTTCCAACCCAAAACATTCTATGATTCTATGATTATAGCTGGGAGCTGAATTAAACAAGTAAAAGCAAAACCACTAAATTAAGTCATGAGATCTGGGATACAACCTTCTTCATTAAAATCTTCAAGGACAAATGGGAAAAAAAAAGAAAAAAAAAATCTTCTTGACTACCATAATGACAGGTTAGGAACACCAATACATGCATTTGCTTAGAAATGTATATGTGTGTATGTGCATATACATACATACATACATATACACACACACAAATATTTGCATCCATATTTTTAGAAATATGGATAAAAACTCCACCTGAAGTTTGAAAGCACTAGGACCACAAATGTTCTCTCCTCTCTTGTCTCAGACTCACATTTCACCTCTGCTTCTGCAGGGCACACAGTTGTCACAGTGTATTTGTCTGAACAGCAGAATTGCAATGAAAAATTTATGTCATGCATTTCCCTTTAGCCTCCGCTATGGCCCAGACCTTCCCAACCAGAGACAAGGCTTGGGTTTCTGGAGGCAGCAGTTACTCACCGTATGATTAGGAAACTGTAACTATTACCGTGTGATTTTAAAATTGCATTGCCAGTAAACAAACAACATAAGATTTGCGAAGTTTGTTCATTATAATTACTAATACATACCTCCTGATCTGTATTTTCAAGGAGTACACTAACAGTAGCAGCACAAGACAGGAGTTTAATAATTTTCCTCGTGCTACTTTAGAAAGTTAGCTATTGATATTTGAACAAAAGCAGACATTATTTCAAAGAGGATTGCCTTAATCTCATGAATCTGTCAAGATTGCAGTGCAAGATAGGTTGCTCTAATGAAATACAAACCCAATGTGAACTACACCTGCACTTCTGTAGAGACTAATGGGTACATTTCTGCTACCAAATTTAAACGTCTTTAAATTGTTGAGAATACAAAATCATTGAAGTTTTGCTGGGTTTTCATTTCAATAAGTGATGTATGCCATCACGCTCTCAAAGAAAAGCTGCTAACACAGCTACTAAAGGTAGTATTAACAGTAGAAAGGTATTTATAACTATCATTGTACTTCAGGCTGTGGCAGAATACTTAATTTTACTACTAAAGCATTGGAAAAGGCATTGATTCAGAAGTATTAGAATATCCAGTCATTGGCTCAGTGACAGTACAAGGTACTGAATGCAATGCGGTGGGGCTGAAGATTGAGGAAACAGATGACCAAGAACCAATGCTGAGAGCACCCACACACAGTTTTGCATCTGTCACAGCACCTGGATTGAGGTGGAGACCGGCCGCAAGACTGTACCTACTTACAGTAGCTGTTTCCAAAATGTAATAAACCTAGTCATTAGAGAAGTCATTTTGAAAAGCTCAAAGCTCCCTTCTCACTTTAAGATTAAGGAAGCAGCAACTACAACAGGAAGTATAAGTAGATAAACCTGCAGTTGAAGGACAACCACCTTTTATCCTTAAAGCAAGGAGAATCGCTCAAAAAAAATCAGACATGCAACACAAAATGCCTTTGTCAGTTTTAAGGTTTGGCTGGCTATATTGTGATAAACCAAAATAATGACGATTCATTCTTTGTTTCAGTCCACAACGGCTCACTTTTCACCAAGAGGTAATTTTCCCTTTTATCAAATATTTTCTCCTTTTTAATTCCCCCAGCTCATTTGTTCTGCTATCAAGGCACCAAATTAAAACATGCAATGACTAACCAAGGAGACCCTGTAGCTGCAATGCATCAAACTAATTTTGTTGACCATTCATGGGTCATTGAAACTTCAGCTTCACATGCCTGTTTCAGAGGCAAATGACAAACATGACCCTTTCTTTCTCCAAGCTGCACAGGTATTTCACCTAGGCAAGCAGGAAAATAACTCCATCCTGCTGTCAAAACTCTCAATCCTCAAATTTGAAACTATATTCAAATAGCCTCGAATACAGCCAGTAATAAAATCTACTGGCCAAAGGATGAAGACACCTAAGGTGTTTAAATCAATTTGTTTTACATCAAGTATTACCAGATAATGAACAGATAGTGAGTTCTACAGCAGAGCTGATCTTCAATACCTGTACCAAAATCCTACTCCGCTTGGTTTCTACCCCAAAAAAAGCTGTTGATGTCACTTATTATATGCCATTTACTATATACACTTTATTTTTTAAACCATGAAAATATGAAACATCATAATTATTAAGTAAAAGGACTTCATTTTCCATTGTAAGGGAAAAGAAGGTTGGAAGACCAGAACTTATTTATTTAGAATAGAATAGACTAGACTATTTTAGTCCGAAGGGACCTACAATGTTCACCTGGTCCAACTGCCTGACCACTTCAGGGCTGACCAAAAGTTAAAGCATGTCATTAAGAGCACTGTCCAAATGCCTCTTAAACACTGACAGGCTTGAGGCATCAACCACCTCTCTAGGAAGCCTGTTCCAGTCTTTAACCACCCTCTCAGTAAAGAAATGCTTCCTAATGCCCTGTCTAAACCTCTCCTGGTGCGGCTTTGAGCCATCCCCACGCATCCTAGCACTGGATACCAGGGAGAAGAGCTCAGCTCCTCCTTCTCTGCTTTCCCTCCTCAGGAAACTGGTGAGCACCAAAACTCAGTTCCCACTGAGGTTTTTATAATTTGTTTAAACAGTTTCCCAGACTAATGCAAGAACATTCAAGATGAAATCCAGATGTGCTTGCACACCAGTTATATCCTAAAATTCGAATGGAAAACTGAAGGTAGGTATCAGACCTAGAACTGAAAATGCAAGAAAACTCCCTTCCCAAATACAATCATAGAATCATAGAATGTTTGGGGTTGGAAGGGACCCCTAGAGGTCATCTAGTCCAACCCCCCTGCAGTGAGCAGGGACTAATTAAAAACCAGGAAGACAAACAAGGTTCTTCTCCAGACTGTATCCAGATTAAACTTAGAATACTGCAAAATTCCTGACAGAAAAAAACTTGCGTAACACTTAGGATGATATAAAAAAAGATTTAACTTTTTCAGCTCCTAACAATCATTCTGTGAAAATTAAGATACTCCTGAAACCAATTATTAAAAATAATTGCCATTCATATGGGTAAAGGATTACCAAGTGCCAATGAAGAAGAAAAAATACAGCTCACTTGAGAAGTACAGAGAACTTTTGAATACCTATGTAAAAATAAGGACTAATGAGGATGTCTCCTTTGGTACTGTCTAAGAACTAAAGGAATTTTATACCCACAAGTTTGTATACTTTAAAAACATCTCTTACATCATCCTATAATAATTTTTACCACTACTTTAAAAAAAAAAAAAAGTCTGTGACTGCACAGTCTTTATATAAAATACTAATTACTACATACTTGATTACCTTCAATCTTATAGTAGGCAGCACATAAAAGCCTCATATATTTTGTGAACATTTATGATCTGAGAAATTAAATAGGCCAATAGAAATATGATTAGAAGACATTATTCTTCCCTCTACTTAAGAGCACCCACCAGCAGGAGGCCATTTGGGATGGTTAAGCACTTTCACTCAGTGCTGCAGCAGGCACCAAAGCCGTCCCCTTGCAAAATCGTCAGGAACTCAGCGTGTGCTCCTTAATGTTGCAACAACGGGTACGCAGCATTTCACAGCACTCTTCTGCAGCCCTCTTTTTCACTCTACTGAGCTTCGTCTCCTCCAGTGCAATTCACTGAAAGAGAATTTTCTCATCCATTAATTGAGCTCCAGCCTTTGATTTCCGTTGCCTTAAAACCCCACGTACTATCAGACACCTAGTATTGGAGTAGCCTTGTGCTTTTATCAAAGCAAGCGTTTTAGTGTGGTGAAAGTCATTCCTAAATAAGAATTACTTGTCTTAGGCTAAGGATTAAACAGTTAAAAAGATTACTGCTACACAGCTAGTACTTTACACGTTATCAAAACCAAACCCACAAACTTCAGGAGATACTTCACCTTTTTCAAAGACTAGGCACACTAAAAAAAATATAATAAATAATAAAAAAATATAATTTTGTATGCTATACACTAGTAAACATGTAAAAAACTAGACTTATCTCAGAAATAAGACTAGATGATAGTGTGGTGTATTTAATGCATATTAATGAACTTCACCACATTATTCAGCACTGGGGTAAGAGACTGTTCTCTGTTTACAGCATTTTTCAGGAGCATATCAAAGACCTGATATCTAAATTCACCTAGAAACACTAGAAAACTACAAAAGGCTGTCTGCAGGAAGAAAGGACTGAATTATTACACCACTGTAATAATTAACCTACTGGTATAAAGACCAAAACCACTGCAACGTCTCAGAATTTTCAACTTAAAGGCAGAAGGGAAAAAAACAACACACAGTTACATATAATGACATAGTTTGATTTTTAAGCTTCCAGTCACCACTTCAGTCAAGAATTCTGTGAAGCAGATCACAAATCACAAGAAATTGTATTGCACGTGACTAGATGGCATTCTATTTTTAACACTACAGATTAACAGATGGAAGTGGAGTTTTTCCTTCAAAAGTGCTCCAGTCATCATAAAGTACTAACAATGATGTTAATTAAACACATTTGTGGAACTAAAAAAATCCCAACCATGTGATTTCATGTTCGTTCTCTACAGCTATTTCTACAGCTCGCTCTGACAAAATTACCAGTTATATCAACATATACATCTGTATGGCAAAATAGGGAAGGGAACGTACCAGGTCATCCCTACAGCTTGAATGCCTTTTATCATGTTGATATTCCAGAAATTACCATATCTGTATTTTTATTTACCTAGCTACTTTACTCACAGTAAAAAAAAAAAAAACAAACCTGCAGAAATCCCCCCAAGTTTCATCACTGAATCAATAAGCTTATGTAAATCACACCGCCAGAAGTAAGGTCTAAAGAAGAGTTTAGTAAAGATAATTAAAAGGGAACACTCTATCCCCATCAGGTGCTAAATATAGAGCGCATAAACCCTTTTTTCCCAGCTGTGGCTGAAGCAAACTGTGTTTCCCCAAGAGGTGCCCAGAGTCTGAAGTGCAGGACGAGCAAGAGGAGTCTCTGCAGAAATGAAGAGTGCTGAAACAGCACTTGATAATGAGAAGAACTTGTCTCTTCCATCTTAAAACTACTGAACGGCACCGCTTCATAAGAGATTATTAAAACACTGAAAATTTATATAGGGATGCCTTTCCTCTTCTCTGATCCTGCTACCCCAATTGCAAGGTAACTTCATAGGAAGAAGAGAACAGGCGCTTTCTGCCAATGATCACCCAGGGAGAAAAGGACAAGCAAGTTTTACACAAACTTCCCTTAAAATTTCTTAAAGTTCCTACAGCAAAGACTAATCAAGGATTTGGGATTAGTCCGAGTTCTGGGCTGCTTTGACTATGGCTCAACACAAATTCACCAAAACAAGCAAAAATGCTGACTTCTTCACAGGTACATTTACCTTGGACTAGGTACGAGGCACTTTAAGAAAATAGGGACTTCAAAGATACCAGTTTTCTTACATCACTTTTTTCGTACCCTGATTGCATCACGTGACAATGGCATGATAACGTGATACCTCATCTGACAGTAGCGCTCAAACCTACACAAGATTCACCAGAAGTTGTGAGCTATTCCTCCCACCACCACCGTAATCAGTTTTAAGGTAAGTTCTCATCCCCAAAGCGAACCATTTAAGAATTTTACCACTGTAAACAAAACGTGACAGATATAGCACATTATGTATTAACTCCATAAGGGAAGGGAAGGTGGTCTGCCAGATTTCTCAACTGAAAATGCTTCTCCCACCGTTATTATCTTGGGCTGTGCGTGTTAAGCTAATTTCCACTTCCAGCTACACAAAAGCAAATTCAGCCTAAGTCCATGTAACTGAATTATTTTAGAGACATTGGAAGACGAATCTGGCTGAATGCACATGCACATACGTAACAGGGATTTCTGGAGTGACAGGACAGATCATCTCTGTGGCATTCATGTCAGAGCCATGACAAAATGCTTTTCCCAGATGAATAAGTGACAGCGAGAAGGCTGTGTTCAATGGGAAGAGGAAGCCAAGAGCTGGCTTGTTTCCATGGAAACAGTAGCAGCATCAGGCAGAACAGCTGTAGAAGAAAAGGCAGAAGTTCAGGAGGCAGAAATCTTGCTGATTTTACCTCACCGATATGTCAGTGCCATCAGAGACCATCTACGTTTAAGGTAGATCAAGCTAGTTTACATTGAATACGTCATGCATTAAGCTACAATTTCCAATTAAGACTTTTAACAGCCAGCATGCCAGAATTACATTAATACATTAATAAAAATTACTTATAATGGGGTTTAGTCAGCCAGTGTACACATGAAGCTACGGAGTGTATGAATATCTGTAACAGCGATGCATTATGATTTTTGTCATTAGGAACAAATCTTGCTGTTTCTTTAAAAACGACAGCTCTCATAGGTGAAATGCTTCAAGCAGAATGACTGGGTTTTGCCAATTTAATCTAATGGACTCTTTTCCCACTTAAAAATAAATTTAGCACTTTGATTCCCAACATGGCAAAAGGAATACCCTCTTTTCAGTTTCTTTATCAACCTTTACTATTTTCTTTGTATGCTTTTATAATCATTTCCAGATAGAAGACACCTGCATAACTCAAAAATTATTAAAGGTAAAATCTAAAGTATACTTACTTCCCTTGTTGGGTAAAAGATAGAGAGTCAAAATTTGCACATATAAATTAAAGGGTCTTTCTCTTTGTTAAGAAAGCAAATAAACTCTGCTATTCACTATTGATGTACAAACAAGTATTCTGAGATCGACATATCTTCATCACTCCATTCACGATGCCTCAGCTGAACTGTCCCAGCAGCACTGATTCCACCAAACCCCAAAACCATCTTACACCGTGAACAGCCAAAGTCCTACATTTAACCCACCCCATTCATTCACCCTAGTACATGATGGCTATCTAGGTACCTGGAGAAAAAGTAAGCAAGCTGCCAAATAAAGACATCAGTTATCTTCTACAAGAACACTCTCCAATATGATCTCCGTGGCTTTAACTTTTTGAGGGGATCTATAAAACTGTATTTTCTCCCTCTCCCATCTCACTCATTTCAGCTGATTCTTCCTACAACCATCCCCACCGAATGTCCAAAGCTGGTGTAGATGTTACGGGACACTGAAAGGAGTCTCAGACTGTAACTTCACGTAAAGCAGTAGATAGGAACTTCCCGTTTCCACCCAACAATACCGCTCACTGCCCAGGCATAGCCCCTTGTGTCAGGGTGAAGCAGTGTAAGATCAGTATTTTTAAGGACACTTGCAAGGTGCAAGTACCTTGACGCCTAGACTGCAAGGCTGTTGTGGTTTTATTTGCATTTCAGCAAACACTTACAACAAACTTTACAAATACTGGCTAACTACTTTTTATCCTTCCCTCATAAACCAAGTAATTATGATCTTCCCTACAGAAAAAGACCATACAGCAAAGGAGGCGCGTGACTCGCCCTTCGGCTGCTGGAAACACCAAGGGTGCTGCCAGCAGCGGCTGCTCGAGTGCCCTGGGCCACGCTGACCCCCACGCTGCTGAGCTACCCAGCTTCGCGGGCGCCGTCCCCTTCTCGGCGAACAGATGCACAGCCTTCTTCAGAAAGCGAAAGATATATAGCCATGAACTTTGTGAACCCCACAGCCTTTTTTTGAGTCCCTGCACTAAGTACATGAGCAATCCATAATCCTTAGGAAAAATCAATGACAAATACTAATTACGTCTTTAAACAGCATCATGTTTCAACTATTATTCAGAAGTAAAAGGCCTTAAAAGCTTAATTAATTTGAAATATGATATCTGAGACTAGCGCTGACATTCTAGGTCCTGCTGGGCATCTGCAGACACTCTTTTCAACTCAGTGCTTAATTATGCCTCTTGTACTTTCTTACAAACTATTTATGCGTATCTTTGCACTTTACTAAAGCATAATGAGTGCTTTGAACTTACGACCCATCAAAAGATACCAAAATCATTTACAGACATTCACTAATCAAACTCACAACACACGTGTATGATCCAGGTAGGAATCGGGTAAGCGTCTGTTTCAGAGATGCTTAAACCAACGCATAGGAAGATTTAGTTGCCCGATGCTTCTCCTCCTATGACAGTATCTTACACCGATAGCTTTCCGTATCTCCGTAACAGCATTCTGTCAAACAGCAGTTTGTGAATGATTGCTCCGTTAAGCCTGGAGTGAAGGGAGTGCTGCTGTACTCTTTAATTTCATCTCACATTCCATGAAATCCGAAACGATAAAATGAAAACAGAAAGAATATTCAGATTTAACTCCCGAACTTTAGAAACAAAGAACAGTGTTGAAGGTTTCCAAGCAATTGCACGTACACGGATTACATTTTATATTTACAAAAAACATGTTTAGTAGGTGCCGCTATCTGAATATCAAACTGCATACACTCAAAGTTGAAATTCTTTTTAGAATCTCGAATGAAGTAAACCTTCTTGTCAACAAACTAGTTTCACTATTTATATAACATCACTGGATGGTCTTGCTAGAATAATCTTGTGCGTGCACTATCCCCCAATAGGTTACCATGGCAACCTATATTTGAATTTCTATAAATTTCTATTTTTAGAGATCAGAGTTTAGGATAAAGAAAATCACAAATATTAAGTACCATTTCATTAATAGAAGATAACCCATTTTTATCATCATCCTACTCCCCAGAACAGACATTGCTAAAGTTAAATCAGGCAGCAACGCTAAAAAAAATAATTACCGCAGTTATTAAGAAAGTTTACCGCTAAGCAGCCTCACCATCATCTAGGTGGTGTATGAGTCAGTAGCTGACACCATGAGGCAAAGACTGATGTGCACAGAGTTTTGTCTTTTTTTCAGTAAGGCCAAGATTTCACTCAAATGTTTTTAGAGTTAGTCATCGTTTCAGCTGACACAAAACAAAACTGTATTTGCCAGAATACTCAGAAAATAATGTCTCTGTTTCAGGTGTGGGAAAATGTTGAATTGACAGTAACGTCTCAGTTCCAAACTAAGGTTACCATCACCTTAAATCACTGTGTTCACGAGTGCTTACTAAGTGCATGCTAGTCCTTCAGTACAAATTTACTAAATGTTTTAAATCTTGCCAGCAATTCTCAAAGTTGTCTCCCTACCAGAAAGATCAAGGTACCGAGTAGCAGCCTTGAAGAAAATGAAGACACTGATTTAGACATCGTTGTTACGGCTCTGACACTGCCTTACTCTGGGTGCCTGGGCTTGAAATCTGAATATAATGTTTAAAGCCAGTTTTTAAGTTATGGAAAGGTAAATACCTTATCTTCTAAGAGGTGAATACCACCAAGTCGCAATTTTCTATTACAGTGTTAAATACGGCGTTCATTTTGCAAACTCGAAATACCTTTACCCGAGCCACTGACAGTTCAGGATGGTCTCGTACAGATGGAAAATTTGGAAAGCAAGTGCCTACAGGCTCTGTGAAAGAGTGGACTGAAGTGGACCAAAAAAAGAAGTGAGAGCTACAACTTCCAGGGCCCAATTGCAGTCAGCACGCCTACCTTCCTATTCCTCCTGGTATCTTCCATTCACCATTTACTTCGCACTCCTCAGTTCTCCAGCAAAGTTGAGGGGAAAGATTCCCTATCGTAAAAGCTGGCAGATTTGACGCTGGCAGCAACTTTCCACGAAATAGTAGGCGAAAGACAACCTGCAGTGCAACCACCACGCCTGCGCTACTGCTTCGTCAGGTAACCGACAACCAAATTTCCTCTAGGATTCAAACAGCTAGGATGCGAGCAACGTGGGTGAATGTCGTTGATGAGCAAAGATAGACACTTCTGGCAGTTCTTCTTCAGACTCGATCCTTTATTAAAAATATATTTCAAGTATGAGCTGGAGCCAGCTGTCAAGGGAAAACATATTGGTGGGCAGCCTTCAAAAACATAAACAACGCTGGCACGCAGCAAGTGACAGAAATAACTAGGAGGACTTTTACGTTCTGTTTAACTTACCTCACCAAGCTCATAGGAGTTGCTAACATTCACAGAAATGGCATCGGGCCACAGGGAACAATTCAGGAAGACACTTAACCACACGCTTATGGTCACATCTGTGAGATTGCCAGTGAAATCAGTGGAACCGATCAGGAGACGACACCCACCGTAACTGCACTTTCTGCAGGATGAGGCTTAGCTCGGAATACTTCATGGGAATCCTGGTACATGTGCTGCAAGACACTTATTACCATTTTATAATCAAACATTTCCAATTACAAGTTCTTTTTCTTGTATTGCAGGGAGGATTTGCTGGTGGTTGCTTTCCTCATCGTTAAATTCGAGGCACCACTGTACCTTTCTCTCAAAGGAATTGACACCATTTGTTTGCTCCAAAGCCCTGGGTTAGAAAGCGAACCCGCATCGCCACTGACAACAGCAACCAGAAGACGGAACTAAAACCTAAATCATCAGTGTAGGAAGTAGTTGGCATCAAAATCTAAAATCCTTATTTAAATAACAGAAACTTAGCACGATCATTTACTGCCTTGCACCCAATACCCTCAGCCACAGAGCCAGTGAGGGTCACCCTGAGAAATCAACGGAGGGAGAGCCAGGGTGACCCCCTGTCACGCTTACTTTGTTGAACTCAGATCACCTCTCAGTGCAGACAGAGGGAAGCTGGGAAAGCACTGAGGTCGCCCTCCTGCATCGCTGTCACCACCTCACCCCAAACCCAAGACCTCCAAAAGCTGAGGGAGGGACAACGGCCACCTGGTAGGGCCAGCTGCCCCTGCCCCAGACGCACCTCCATGCAGGTACTCAGAAAGGATGAGGGCACCTGGGGGCTGCTCCTGCCCACACCCATACAAACGGGTCCCCAGCAAGCAGGACCTCTGTACCCCCACCCGGGCCAGGGGGGCGAGCACAGCTGCCTCGCAGGTTCCTCGGGGCACAGCCCCCACCTCACCCCATGTACCTTCCCACGGGGGGATGCCAGCACGGCAGGACCCCCCTTGCTGCCTGCAGATGCAGAGAAGCCAAGCACCACCGCCCCGCAGGGGCCGATGTCACCCCCACGCAGCGGCCCACCAAAGCTTCACCTCCGCGTGCGCACCGCAAGCAGG